AAATAAACTTTTTTTTTTTTTTTTTTTGCAAAAAAATACCACCCAATCTATGCAATCTCACACTGAGTTTTACATTAACTTCCCTACATTGTGATGTTTTCCCAGCTTGCTTTTTTGAAAGTGGCAAGGTACCCAGCTTCAGAGTTCTGTTTCTTTTTGCTGTTTCAGCTAGGAGAGCTATAGCAAAAGCAAAGTAAACCTATAAGGGTAAACCACAACGCTGATACTAATTCTGTGGTTGCAAGCTTAAGAAAAGATATGCAAAATGAGATGGCTACAACAGCCCCATGCTGTCCTGTTTCTCTCTCAAAATTAAAGCCTTGGGGGAGAAAGGTACATACATCAAAGCAACTTAAAACCTCAACAAGGATAGGACTTTGCAACTAACTCCTGACAAAGCCAAAACCCCATTTTTCAGAGAGTTCTGTCATACAAAGACATAGTCAATAGACCAGAGGCTAAAATGGTGAACAGGAAAAGGAGAACCACATACTTAAATAGCTATCATTTCAGACTTAATTAGCTCACCACAGGATAAATGCACGCACTCCAACAACTCAGTAATAAATAAAACTTGTTTCAGCAGCTGATAGTCCTCCAAGACCGACTGCTTGCAGGAAAACGGGTAAAAGATCATTCACACAGATGGTCTGACACGAACAACTAAAAAATCCTGATTCTCTAGCCAAAGATTAATCCCCTGACATGGAAATATATACAGCTGGCCCACAAGTAAGCAATCGAAACAACACAGGAAACCATCAAAGATCAAGCCAAAAACGCACAGAAAATTGGTCAGATATACCTTCAAAAACAAAAGAAAACAAGAAAAGTGTTTTCCATTTTTCAGATTAAGTGAAAGCGTATATATAAGCGTAATCAAACCAGAGTTAACACATTATTACTGATCAAAATCTGAGGAACAAAGAGTCACAGACCACAAGTGACTCACAAACCAATGACTCGGCCTTCCAGAAAAATCATTCATATGGCAGAAAAAATAACATCATCATCTTAAGCAGCTTCCCAAGCCATTCGGCAGTATACTGATTTATACCAATGACAGACTTCATAAAATTCAGGAAATACATGAAATTAGAATAGAATATTTCAGTTGGAAGGGACCTACAGTGAACACCTAGTCCAACTGCCTGACCGCTTCAGGGCTGACCAAAAGTTAAACCATGTTATTAAGGGCATTGTCCAAATGCCTCTTATACCCTGACAGACATGGGGCATCAACCACCTCTCTAGGAAGCTTGTTCCCGTATTTGGCCACCCTCTCAGTAAAGAAATGCTTTCTAGTGTCCTGTCTGAACTTCCCCTGGCAGAGCTTTGAACCTTTCCCATACGTCCTACCACTGGATCCCTGGAAGAAGAGACCAGCACCTCCCTCTCACTTCCCCTCCTCGGGAAGCTGCAGAGAGCAATGAGGTCGCCCCTCAGCCTCCTTTTCTCCAAACTAGACAAGTCCAAAGTCCTCAGCTGTTCCTTAGAGGACATTGCTTCCAGGCCTTTCACCAGCTTTGCTGCCCTTCTCTGGACACGCTTCAGGACCTCCACATCCTTCTCAAATTGTGGCACCCAGACCTGCACACAGCACCCCGGGTGAGGCCGCACCAAAGCTGAACACAGCAGGACCATCACCTCTTTTGTCTGGCTGGTGATGCTGCGTTTGATGCACCCCTTGATGCCTCCAGGGCTCACTGCTGGATCCTACTGAGCCTGCTGCCCACCACCACCCCCAGGTCCCTTTCTGCAGGGCTGCTCTACACCCCTCCTCTCCCAATTTCTACTTGGGCCCAGTGTTACTCCGTCCCAGGTGCAGAACTGCATTGGGACTTGTTAAATGTCATCCCATTAAGCCTAGCCCAATGCTCCAATCTATTTAGATCCCTCCTGTTCCTCAAGAGAGTCAACAGCACCTCCCAATTTGATATCATCAGCAAACTTGCTAATGGTGCATTCAACTCCCACATCCAGATCATTGATAAATATATGGAACAGAACTGGCCCTAGAGCTGAGCCCTGAGGAACCCAGCTGGTGACTGGTCACCAGCCAGACGTAGTCCCATTACTAAGCACTGAAGCCTCATGTCATTGATGACAGGCAAAGTTTAGAGGTCTTCTACAATTGAAATACGGTCATTTTTCATCATTAGATTTGCAACATGCTCTGATTCCACTCACCAGGAGAAACAACGAGTACCTACTAACCAACGCTGCCACAGAAAAGTGGACAGAATGTATTACCTAAGCAGAATGATAATTCAAACCACCAAACCACATCATGCACACCGGCGATTAAAAAAAAAAAAAAAAAAAAGAGTCAGCAGAAACTATAGGTTTTACTTCTGAAACTGCTGCAGAAATAAACAAAATATGGCAGATGATAACCAGAATGCTGCTTCTTTAAATCATTCCACCCCTTTGGGTGACAGCTATGTACCCCACACACATGTGAGGCAATCCTAGTTCCTTCTCATGTCTCATGCCAGCACTTACTGCCTGATACTACAGTGAAAAAAAAGCACTGCATAAGCCCAAAAGCTCTTTTATGCAAAATTTTGGAAGCTAAGACAAAAGTTAGGAGGCCCTGTACCACCTTCAGCCTCAAATATTCTTGAACTACTGCCACCACTACAGTCACACCCTTGCTGCTACTTCTGCCTCACTACACCATGCACAGAGAACTGCAAGTACGGTGACATCTCTGATGAGTAAGCCATAGAAAGAAAGACATGGCAAACGTAAAAGTGAAGAATGCAGCGAGATGTAAGAAAGATGGGGACACATGGGGCTGGAAATAAGAAGGGACATTTGAGAGCACTGTTCTCAGGCCAAGGAGAAAAATGGCGCAGTACCCAAAACAGAGGGCCAGTGCAGGGAAGGGCAGCATGTCAGGGCTACTGTATTATCACCTACAAACATCCACAAAGCTCGGAAATACCAAATTACTCAGCACAGATGCCACAGAGCTCAGTATCATGTGCTTTGCACTCCCTGTGCAGAGCTGTGGCCCTGCTGCTGCCTGCAGGGCTCCCTGCCCTCAGGGAGAAGGATGGAGGAAGCAGGAGGGGTGACACCACAGTTATGACAGCACGATGTATCCAGTTTTGGGCCCCTTACCACAAAAAAGACATTGAGGTGCTGGAGCAGGTCCAGAGAAGGGCAACGAAGGTGTTGAAGAGTCTGGAGAGTAAGTCTTATGAGGAGAGGCTGAGGGAGCTGGGGTTGTTCAGCCTGGAGAAGAGGAGGCTGAGGGGAGACCTTATCGCTCTCTACAACTACCTGAAGGGGGTGTAG